GAAAATCTCCTCCTTCTGTATTTGTTTAATTCCAGAGGTGGGTCTTGAGGTCCCACAGACTGCCTTGGCAGTTGCTGGATCGCCCACTGGGCTCTAAATCAGTGATCCCCTTCTGATCTCCGACTCTCTGACAGGGGGGCCTGGCTTGTGGGGGCCTTCAGCTCACCTCTGGCTGTGGGGACAGCCCTTTCCCCATTCCACACAGTCTAGCTGGGTTCTGAATGCAGAGATCCTTGTTCTAAAATGGCGAGTCAGGAAGGCACTTCCCTGCACTTGCGGTCTGCCCCAGCAGTGGCTGGATTCCCCCCCTCGCCCCCCCCCCCCGCCCCGGTTCCAACTGGTGGCCAGATGGGGCCTGGTTTGTGGGGGCTTTTCAGCTACCTCTGACTGTGGGGACAGCGTTTTCCCAGTTCCACACAGTTTTGGTGGGTTCTGATGCAATCCCACACAGTCTAGTTGGGTTCCGGACACAGAAATCCCTGTTCTAAAATGGCAAGTCAGGAGGGCACTTCCCTGCATCCGCAGTCTGCCCCAGTGGTGGCTGGATCCCCCTCTGGGCCCTATGCTTATTTTTGAAAGTTTTATAGTTTCACATTAAATACATGATCCATTTTGAGTTAATTTTGTATAAGATATGAGATTTAAAATGCCATGTGTGGGTTAGCAACCTGGCCAGGGATCAAACTCAGGCTGTATTGGTGATAGCGCTATAGTGATATTTCCTATTTTGTTCCTGGTATTGGCAATTTGTTTTAATTTCTTTGTCATTCTTGCTAGAGATCTGTCAGTTTCATTGATCCTTACAAAGGCACAGCTTTTTGTTTCATTGATAATCTTTATTATTTTCCTCTTTTCAATTTTATTGATTTCTGCTATTTATGATTTCCTTCCTTCTGCTAGCTTTGCATTTGTTTTGCTCTTTTTCTTCTACATACTTGAGGTGGGAGCTTAGATTACTTATTTGAGACCTTTCCTTTTTTCTAATATATGTATTTAGTGCTATAAATTTCTCTTTCTACATGACTATTGCTGTGTCCCATGAATTTTGAAATGTTTTGTTATAGTCCCACAGGTTCCTGAGGCACTGTTCAATTTTTCTCAGTCTATTTTCTTCTCTCTTTGTAATTTTTATTGTTATAGCTTCAAATTCAGTGATTCTTTCCTTTACCCCCTCCATTTTTCTGTTGAGCCCCTCCACTGAGATTTCCAGTTCTAAAATCTCCATTTGATTCTTCACGTCTTCTTGTTTGCTGAGACTTTATATTTCTTTGTTGAGACTGTATTTTCTTTATATTTGTTTCAAGCATGTTTGTTATTGTTCATTGAAACATTTTTATGATAGTTTGCTTCAAAACTTCTCTCAGATAATCTTAATATCCCTGTCATCTTGATTTTGGCATCTATCGATTGTCTTTTTTCATTCAGCTTGAAATCTTCCTGGTTCTTGGTAAGATGAATGATTTTCTTTTGGGATATTATGTAATGAGACTCAGGATCTTATCTAAATTTCTGTTTCAGCTGTTGTTTTTTTTCTTATACTCCTCTGTTAAGGTTGTGGTGGGGTACTGCATTGTTCTAGACAGATGGGGCTAAAAGTTAAGGCTCCCCACTTGGCTTTTACTGGCATGGGTGGGGGGTCATAGTTTCTCTTGTAGCATTTGGCTGCAGTAGATCAGTAATTGTCAGAAAGTTTTTTATTCATGCCAGGCTGTCTGTTACCTGGTCCTTTGGCAAGCGAGAACACTTTTTTTGTGTGTGTCTGCTCCCGTTGGTGTTTTCTGAATTGATGGCTTCTCCAGAAGTCAGTTTAGGATATGCGAGGCAAAAAGGAAACCCAGAAGACTTGCCATCATGTCATCCATTAGCTCCTGAGGTCCTTAGACAAGCTACCTTCTTATCTCCACCTTTCTTTGTCCTCTTATGTTTGTCTCACATTATTGTCCAGGGTTTTTATTTTCAGTAAGTAAAAGGAATGGGGAAAAGTACATCTATGCCATCTTCTTAGAGGCAGAAGTCCCCAGATGACTTTTAAGATCCTATATCTCCTATTAATTAAATCTCACTACTTATCTCCAAAATAGTTAAAAAGTAAAATTTAAAAAGTAAAAATTTGATATTCTGTCTTCATTGAGTGAGTACATCATACCCATGTAGCTTGTGAGATGTTGAGGAAGAACTATAGATTAAGGCATCCCTAGAGTTTTCCAGTTGCTGAGCTGGTGACAGATTTCTTAAATCTGTTCTGCTCTTAAACAAACAAATCTTCCATATGTGCCCAGAGCTGCACTGGATGTTTAAAGGCTTTGGAGAAAGCTGTAGGCTGGACTCTCAGGGTATTTAATGTCTAGTTGGTGACACAAGACAAATGAATTCTTCATCTCAGAACCTGGCACATAGTAAACGCTCAGTACATACTTGTTGCATGAATGAATGCTGCTGAACAAATGCTAAATTATCCCTGAATGACAGGCGCTAAACTCGATTGTGTGGCACAGACTAGAAATTCTGTATGAAGCCAGAAGAGAGGCAGCAGATAGACTGGAGTAGTCAAGAAGGGATTTCTAAGGAGATAGAGGCTGGGTAGTCTTGTAGGTTGGGTAGGATATGGAGATATTTTTTTGAAGGAAAATTTGACAGGACTCATTAACAGATTCTTTAAGGGGCATGGATGGGTAAATAAGAGTAAAAAGCCAGATAGACTTGGTTCAGATCCTAGGTGACTAGGAGATAAGGAAAAGACCATGCATTTGTTTTTGAACCTGATTAGCTTGAGCTGTTAGCAAAACATCCAAGCACAGTTGCATAGACTGTCATAGTATTTGGATTATCTGGAGTTGATCACAAGATTATACTAGAAAAACCCATCTTTTCACTTGAGCATATCCAGAAGCTTCAGGACCTACTCCCAACTTTGCAGTCAACAAAATATGGTATCTAAAGCAATTCACAGCCCCTCCTTGAGCTTTGATTTTTCTCATCTGTTAAATGGGATGCATTGAGAGGTGGCTTTTGTAAGATAACATTTAATCATTTCATATGAAATAAAATATCATAAAAAGATTTGATCATATGTTTTGATGAGATAACACTTGGTTATTTCATTATAACATTGATGAGGGAAAAAAATCCTGGCCAACATTGAAGAAACAACTTACTTGAGGACTTGCTTTTGTTAGTCATCCTTTTGCTTAAAATTCCTCTTTCCAAGAAACTATTTACAATGTTAAGTGAGGACTTACTGTATTTAATATTTGAAAGGAGCCCTATACCTGTTGGAATATATTCTTTCCAGCTCTAAAGTTCTAGGATTCCAAGATTTGTTTGAAATTGTGAATAGTCCTTACTGTGTCTGTCTTCTGTAACTGAGTTTTTCCTTAATAGTTTTTTACCCAGAAGAGGCCATCAGTTTATATTATGTGAAGCTAGGAATGTAGGAGAGGGAAGGTTGATATGTTGTAACTCAACCTTTTAGACTTCTAAGTTTGTCTCTCTTCTGAGCATTTGCAGTCGTCATGCTTGAATCAGAAAAGCCTCCACTTAGGCCGACAACAGCCCTAAGCTCTGGGGAGCACAATGGGCAGGTGCCATTAGAACACAGGAAGGAAGGGCTCTGTGGTATCTTAAAGTCATTAGATTGTATTTATTTCCAGTTTGCTCAACACAGGAGGTGAATGATGAAACCGAATGGGGCCCAGAGAAAAGGATGAAGACATTTGCCTTTCAATATCAAACTGGGCTCATAACACTTAAACCTGAAAAGGCTTCATTTTGTTTTTCTAAAATCTAAACATGGCTGTGACTTCCCACATGGCATCTGACTTTGGTTCAAGAAATGGTTCCATATCTTCTTTCTAGGATTTTATGAATGTAAGCCCTCCATCTATCATAAATAGTATCTAATTACTTTGAATTAAAAAAAGGTACTTTTCAGATTGTTAAGTAGCTGAAACGCATTGCAGAGAAATTGGAAACAATAGTAATTAGAAAATGAAAATCATTCATAATCCTGCAACATAGAGATAATTGTTGTTCAATATTTCTATTTATTTCCTTCCAGTCTTCTTTTTTCTACACACACACACACACACACACACACACACACACTGGGATCATGCATATGTTCATTTGTGTATTCTCCTACCCCCCCACTTAATTTGGGTTGTAAGCATTTCCCAATAACTACATAATATTTCATAGTTTACAGGTTAGGATTTCATATACAGCTTTTAAGTTGTTTCCACTTTTTCTCTATTTTAAATAATGCCACAATGAATTTCCCAGAATTTATTTTGTACATTTCTATTATTTTTAGGCTAAGTCCTTAGAAAGAGAATTACTTGGTGAAAGGATAAAAGTATTGTTAAGGCTTGGCACATTTTGCCAAATTGTCCTGTGGGAAAATTGTAGTAATTTGCATTCCCAGTAGTATTTGATGATGCCTGACTCACTACATTAATACAGAATACTTCACCATCATATATACACGATGCAACTTTGAACCATTCCAAGTCAAGGGCATTTATTGAGCACCTACTATGCGTAGGACATGCGCTAAGCATTATACTCACTCCCGTTATGTGGTATAAGTGCTAGGCAGACAGCACACATACAAAAATGGCTAAAAATGCAAGTGAAATATAACAATACATGAATCTCTATGACCAGGGCTGATATCATTCAGTCTATAAATGGCTACTTTGTGAGGGAAGACACTGTGCTAGCAAATTTTCAAAAGTAATTTAGATCTCCTAAACACTTTCATAAAAGAAATGCATTAACATGAATCTTGCAAACAATAGAGGTTCAGTTGTAATCACTTACATTGTAGTTTCTGGTATAAATTAGGGTGGAATGGAAAGGAATATTACAAATCTACATCTCTTAAAAAAGAAAAAAAAGCATTTGGGTGATAGGACAATTTCTGCTTTTGTCAGTTGCCTTTAGAAAGTTAACCTGTTGGTTATCAGAGAAGGGGGACACAGAACACACAGAACACTAACCTCCTTCTGGCAGCTGGGATAATTTGTCAGTCTCCTTTGAAATGTGGCTTTGTGCTCACTGGTGAAGGCAGCTGGAACAGAAAAGGCATGACAGACAAAAGCTGAAATCCACATGAAGTAAGGTCTTTTTCCCCAAAATTACTGCCTGAGTTAGCAATGGTCAGAAAAGAAAGTACATGTCTATCTTCCCAGCACAAGCACGCCTGGTGCTAGAGAAGGACCCGTGTGCTACAGGAGGCATTTAGAATAGTTGTAGCCCTGAATAGGGCTGCTGGATAGCATGCAAACAAGTCTTCTGGCCCCAAGAAAAATTACCCCCTCGTTTTGGTGGTAGGTATGATGTGGCAACATACTCCTGAAGAAGTATGAACCTATACTTCCAAATCACATACAGTGTTGTAAACCCACATTTCCTAAATAAGAAAATAATACAATAAGAAAGAAAAATTATACCCTCAAATTAAATCCATTTGATACTGAAACAAAATGAGTGAAAGCAGCACATTTTGGAATTCAGTCAGAAGAATTTACTATTATGAAAAAGAAGACCCACTTAGTATATGATAGATGAGGACCCAAAAAATAGAGGGTCAAAGATAGGATTTTAAGTTAAATGGTAACCAATAAAATAACTGAAAGTTTTACTATCAAACTGGAAACAACCCAAATGTCCTTCAAGTGATGAATGGATAAACTGGTATATGCATGCAATGGAATACTACTCAGCAATGCAAAAGAATGTACTACGGATACATGACTTCCAAGCTAATTATACTGAGTGAAAGACGTAGTTTCAAAAGGTTATGTGCTCTCTGCTTCCATTTCTGGAAGAGGTAAAAGTATAGGAACATAATACAGGTCAGTGGTTATCAAGGGGTAGGGGTAGAGGGAGGGGTTGATTACAATGAACAGCATGAGGAAATTATTTGGGGTGATGGAGCTGCTCTATATATTGATTGTGGTGATAGTTACGTGACTTTATATATTTGCCTAAACTCGAACTGTAAACCCAAAGCAGTAAATATTACTCTTTGCTATTTTAAAAAGTGTGAAAAGATCAGTTGGGAGTAATGGTAAGGGAACCAAATCTGCAGTTTTTTTTAATGGAGCCAATAGATAAGGCCCAAAAAAGGGCAAATCAAGAAAAAGGAGTGGGGGCATATAATTCAGAGATACTGAAGTAACTACCAGATGAACTAAAAACAGAATCTATTAACAGTTGCCTCTGAGGAGTGGGACTAGGGTAAGCAGAGAACTATTGTTTTTTATTACAAAATCTTTTTGTATTGCTTGATATTTTAAAATTATGCTCATGAATTACTTTGATTTAAAAATAAATGGAGTGGAGAATGCACTGGACTGGGAATTGAGCAACCTGATCTCTAACCCTAATTCAGCATCATTGAGCAACTCTTCTCTCTGGCCTTGGTTTCCACATGTGTATGATAAAGAGATTGGACTAGATGATCTTAAGACTCCCTTTCAGACCTAAAAGAAACTGATAAAATCAGATGGTTTGCAAATCCATGATTGCTTGTTGAGTCCCAAGCAAAGATGCAGGCATTTTTATTTTTAAAGCTAATGGAGACTAAATCATCAAATTAAGCCATCTCTTTTTAACCATTGAAGAAATCAAGGCACAGATTGGGTCAAAGACCCACATAGATGACAGTTCATTGGCAATCATTTTGGAAGAGGTGCCCGACATGAAGGACTAGAGGTCAGGGCTCCGCAAGGCTCTAGCCCTCGCGCCACACAGGACTGACAAAAAGTCCCCAAAATGATACCGCGGATATAACTCATATGCAGATATGGTTTCACTGGGCTGAGAAATGAATCAGAGTTTTGGAAGTGGTCCCTGACATAAGCACGCATGCTGCAATATTGTAGGCAGCCTGGAGTTCATCAAGGTCATTTGGGGGCTCCATTTCTTGATTGGCGGTAAACTGCCTTTGACAGCTACTGTCAGCCTTTTGACTTTCGCTTGGGTGTGACAGGAGTCCACCATTCATCTCACCGTTCTCATTCTGATTTAAAAGAATGGGTTCATCATTTTTTTTCTCATTGGTCTTTTATCTTGATAACCTCTATGCTCATGCATGTTTCATTGAAAGCTGCCAAGAATGAGAGAAGAAACGTCCACTTGGAAACAAAATGCACCATTATCAAATTAAGAAGGTACTTTGCTATGGTTGAGCAATCCTCTTAGGAAGACAGTTGAAACAGAGCTCTGAACTTGACCACACCATCTTGGGAGAAGACCCTCCATGTTGACTAGCAAGCAAATGAAAAGCACGTTTGCTGAGCCTTCCCCCGCCTTCTTGGCCTGGGCCTGCAGGCTCATTTGCCCCTCATGCACAAAGTCTGAGGTTTAGAGAATAAGGACACCATTATGTGGGGCTATCATTCTTCCTCAGTGGAAACAACACTGCCCTTTGTCAACTCCCAGCAAACTTCAAAGGGTGTGGCTATCTTTCTGTGCTCCTAGGGAGGCCTCCTTGGGAAACCCTGCTTAGTGCCTTTCTAGTACTAGAATCTTCAGCTGATAGTGAGTTAAAGCAGCAATTTTTAGGCAGCCCCCCGTTGGTACTTTGTCTGCTTTAGAAGCAAGATTGTATTTTTAACCCCCTCCTTGAATAACTCTTGTTTGCCAACTTTTGTGACCCCCCCCCCACCCCATCCGTGCTCCCACTCAAGCCTTGGCTTTCTGCCCAGGTCTGAATCCCGCCTTACCTACTGCCTGGCGTTTACTTCACAACAGCTGGCCCAGGGATCTCAAGTACTTAGCCTCAGCTGCCAGCGTTGGGGAGGAGAGGCCCCTGTAGTTTAGCCTGTGACAAAGACAGCATTTGTTCCCACAGCAGCATTCTCAATGTCAACAGCAGTGGCAGGCCCCAAAGGGGATCATGCCCAGCCACTGCCCGTTGGTGAGAACTACACAAGCCCAGAGATGCTCAGACATCCAGCTTCCATATCTGCTTTGAATCTCCTCACAGTGCTGTGAGGAGACTCGAAACCAGTGATAGGATTCCCATTTTACAGCAGAGAAAGGGCAACATGTGGCTACTGAGAGATTTGGCCAAGGGAATGCTCATCATTTTGTTCAAAACAAGAATCAGGATACCTGGGTCTGCCAAATGTCGATTATTGTGATTTGCCAATTTATTTACGTGAAAAGTACCATAAACCTGGGTTGCTTATCATGGGGTGACAATGTCAGGGCCAACTAAAGTGGTGGGTGATACAAGGGAGGTTGCTGTGAGGGTGGGGGTGGTTCACCACACTGCGGGGCCATGGCAGAGAGATTGTAGCTAAGACCGTCCCTCCCAGGGGCCTGGGGGACACTCCTGCCTTCCTTCTGCCTACAAATGTTGACTGTGCCCAACACTGGGGGGACAGAGATAACTCAAATGTGCCCTTGTCCTCAGAAGGAGGCTCACAGCCTCATAGCCAGGGACTGTGATAAGCAGGCCCCTGCTCCCCAGGGGCTGGCCAACAGAAAATGGTGTTTGGGTGGCTTTTCCAACAGTAGTGATGGGTGTGTACCCCATAACTCACTTTGCCTCCCTTTTTGAGAGCAGAATTCATTTTGTCAGTAATCTAGCCAAACTACGTACAATATGTAAACATGTATCTCCATGCGATTGTATATTGGTTGTTGGGTTTTTCTTTTCAATAATAAACGTGGTACCATTGTTGATTTCTCAGCAAGTTAAACACAGCACTGCCATATGACTCAGCAACTCTACTCCTAGGGATACACCCACGAGGACTGAAGACAGCGTAAGCTACATGAAGGCAGGGATCATGTCTGCCTTGGCCACTGTCTAGAAGTGTCCTTGGCATATAATAGGCATCCAAGAGTTATTATTGGAGTTTTTGTTTAACAAGTGAATATATTTTTTAATGCTCTTCTCATCTGAGAAGCATCAACCGTTCTTGTTTAACACTTTCAAAATATAGGTACTAGTGGAGTGTTGGTGGTTAGTGGTTAGCATAGCTGCCTTCCAAAATATAGGTACTCAGTTGAAGCAAACAGCCAGAGCAGAGAGGGACGGCAAACTCTCCGTGTCTCTTATAAAGATATTTAGTCCCTCATAAGGGTTCCACCCTCATGGCCTCATCTAAACCTAATCAATTCCCAAAGGCGCCACCTTCAAATAGCATGCCACTGGGGTTAGGGCCTCGATATATGAACTTGGGGGTGGACACACAACTTGGTCCATAGCAGCTAGAATGCACTCAATAGACATTGTGCATCAATACAAGGACCATCTTTATGGGCAAGATAGTCATGCGTCGCTTGACAGTGCTCAGGTGGGAGTGGGGGCGGGAGCGGGGGAGCCGCATATACAACAGTGGTCCCAACAGGCTACACCGGAGACCTAGCTGTGCAGTAAGCTCTCCCACCGGGTTTGTGCAAGCTCACGCTAAGATGTTTGCACACGGTGAAAACGCCCAGTATGATTGTCTCAGAGCACATCCCCCGCCTTAAGCGACACCACCCAAAGGGACAGAGAGTCGCACACGTGAAAGAGTATTATCAAGAACCAGTGACTAGTTCTCAGACACATGCATGTAAGGAAATCTGTCTATGTAGAAACAGACACAAGGAAACAGTCCATCCCACACAATCCCCTCTAAGCCCTGCAGCCACAGGACTCTATTTATTTAGCAAAGGCAATTCAAACAACACAAAATCATTTTTATACTTCTTTAAAGTTTGAACAACACTCGTTTGCCAACTTTTGGGACTCCCCCCACCCCATCAGCGCTCCCACTCCAGACTTGGATCCAGCCAGTGTAAAGGCACGGTACCTTTGCTCTGCCACGGCCCCTCACCCCACCTTGCCCAGTTGGAGGAGCTGAACGCGTGTGCAAGCCAGTCTCCGGCGGCAACCTTGGTCTAGGACACGCACCCCCACCACTACCCGCGTGGACGTATATGGGACCCAGGCAGGCCGGGACCTCTCGTGCACATGCAGCGGGTAGAAACGGCGGCTCAGAAACCGAGTTTCCGGGCGGGCTTCCACGAGCCACCTCTCGCGGGCGTCCCGAACAGCAGGGCAGATCCATGTCCCAACGCCAGATTTTCTTCTCAAATCTGGGAAAGAAATGCGCAGCGAGCCAGGGACCTGTATCCCAAGCCCCCTGGCAGAGCCGTCTGTACCTTTCACACTGAAATGTCATCCACGCCAGCTCACGCCTGGGCCAGCGCCACGGCAGATCCGTGCGCGCCCGCAGGAAGCGACCCCCCCGGAATGCCCCGCGAGCCCGGGCACATGGAGGAGACGCTCACCCGCACGTAGCGTGGGCGCCCTCCGTGCCTCCTTCGGTAAAGAGTCATTTTGCAATACGAAGGATCACCCGTCGGTTCCTCCTTTGCCAGTTATTTTGCGGGTTTGTCTCCAGGCAGACCTCATGCTCCCGCAGGAGGCGCCATCTCTCACACTCGGGAAGTACGAAGACCCCACATCGCAAAGGCTCCGGGGGACCAGCCAGCTCTTACCGATGCTTACCAGCTCTTCTCCTTGTCAGTGGCGTCAGCCTCCCTCAGACTTTGGTCATTTAAGTCTGGGTTCTTCTTCCCCATTCCCAGCGACCCTCTCTGCTCCATTGTCTTTTCCTGCCCCCTCATCTCCCTGAGTCTCAATTCCCTCTATCAGACAGAGAACCATCCTCCCCCTGCTCATCTCAGAGACGCCTTCAAAGATTCCAATAGACAGTGAGGACTGCATTTTTTCCTTTGAAGGTATTTTTGAGCCTCCAACCTGCCAACTTTCCCCATGCCCAGGTCTGGCCTATAATCAGTGGTACCCAATAACCTCAGGACTCAAAACTAATACTCAACGCACATATCTTAACTAACAAACAATCTCTTCCTTGTACCATCACTGCATTGTCACCCACCCCCATGCCCAGGCCTGCTGCTGTGGTTGCTAAAATAAATGGCTTCTCTAGCACTTGCTCTTTTGACCCTCTCTGACTGTTTTGGGGCTCAGGTAAGGATAGGTGTGGGAGAGCCCTTTGGACAAGTACTGTTGTTGAGCCCAAGCTCAGGTTTGGACCTGATTTGATCACACCAGTAGACACAGCTTAAACCACTACGTGGAACTTCTGGCATCAGTAATCAAACATTGTTTCAGCACATGACAAGTGTTGAACAGGCCAAAGCCTATGCTATGACAAAATGACAAAGGTCCAATCGGTTTTGTTCCCATGAGCCAGTGGCCCCAGACAGAGTTAGCTATGTCCTCAGCAAAGTGCCTTGATTTTTCTGAAGTACTCAGCGACCTGGCACAGGTCGGCTTGTTATTTATTGAACAATGACTGTCCAGAACACCACAGCCATCATCTCACTTGTATCCTCACAGCACCCCTGTTATTATCACCCGTCTATCAGATGAGGAAACTGAGGCTCATGAAATTCAGTGACTTGCCCAAGATCACATAGCTCTCTGCCTCCAAAGCTTGAGCCATGAAACTCATGTCTGCCTGGTAGGTTGCACTCTGGGACTGAGAACTCAGGTCAAAGACCTGGGAAATTTTTATCAAATACCTTATTCCAGTCTAGAACAATCACCACACAAATCTCATCAGTGCAGGCAAATAGGGCAAATAGGGCAGAAGATCAAAGCCTGGCAGCAGGGCGCATGGGTATCCATCCTTCAGAGGCAGCAGAAGGGAAGGGAATCAGACCAGGACCATTGACGGAGACAAAGCCACTGTCCTAAATAAGCTGCTGTTAAAGTTGCCTGTCAAAATTGCCATCGACACAGTTATAGGTCTGCCTTCTTCTAAACCAATATATTTTTTTAATTTTCTTTTTTAATTAATAAATTAATTTTTCTTACATCATTGTAGTCCCCATAGTTCTCCTGCGACCATATCACCTGTGAACCATCACCGCATTCCCTTGTGTTCTTCCCTCCCCTGTCTTGACCCCTCTCCCTTCCCTGCTGTGTGCCTTCAATCTGTGATCAGCTTGTCAGTTTTGGCTTTTTCTTGACCTTTTATTTGTAAACCAATAATTCTGAACCTCTCGGGGGTATACCCTTGAGAATCTGAGGTAAGTTGCAGACTCTGAGCAATAAAGGACAAATGCAAGCACATGATTTTGCACATGGTTTCAGAAAGATTCATGGAGCTTCCAATATTTCATCTAAGAATCTCCCAGGTTAAAAAATTCTACGTTTTAAAAAGTGATACATCAGAGAACAACGATTCTTTTCAATGAGAAGTCAGCCCAGAGCACAAAAGTCAGGATTTGCCTGATGAGAATTTTGTTTACATATAACTTTCAGCAGCCTGACTAATTGCTCTGAGGTCATTTGCAGCCGCATCTCCATATTCCCCTTCAGCCCCATGCAGCCAGAAGCGATGATGGCACAGATGACCATCTTCAGAGGGGGTCAGAACACAGTACTGGAAACCACACGTAGAGTGGTAGGCAGACAAGTGGTTTCCTTGGAAGAGAGATTGAACTATATAGGACCTACACGGTCCCACTCAGCACCACGAATCCAGGTTCTAAGAACTATCTGAGCCTAGAGAAGACTCAGATCACAAGTTCAGTGCTGCCAAGGAGCCGATGGCTCCAGGAGAAGCCAGGTACCTGATGGGGGTGGGCTAAGTCTTGGCTGCTCCCCTGAGTCTGCAGTCAACCTCTTTACACTGCTCCATGTTATTCTTAATAGCAACGGTTAGTTCCCCATTGTTCTTTTACAAAAATATTAGATAATCCCAACCCAAGTAATTCCAAAACTATTCCCCCCCTCGTGTTTTGAATAGACAAGGTCTTACCGTCATCTTTAACACCATCGTTATCAGTCTGTTATCATAGCTTGATATTTCTTCTGAGCCCACCCCCAGTGTCTGAGCCCTCATACAAAAGGTGCTTAGATGCAAGACATCGATGTGATGCAAGGATCCCATGGTGCTTTCTCCTTTAAAAACCTTTTCACTTGAGGGCCTCCCCTGGTGGTGCAGCGGCTGAGTGCTGGGCTGCGAGGCTGCCTGCCCGCAGCCTCTGCAGCACTGGTTCGAACCCTGCCACCGGCGAGGTTCCCACAAAAAAAAAAAAAAAAAAAAAAAAAAACTTCACTTGAAAAAGAGAGATTATGTGATGTGTTCAAAGGAACACCAATATGGAGTCCTCATTCCTCCTAAACTGCCTCTGTGCCACTTGCAGCCTCAGTTCCCTCTATCCATCAAACAAAGAACCATCCTTCTGCTTATCTCTTGCGTGTCTTGTAGGATGCAAATAAAATAGTTGAGTATATAAATACTTCAATCACTATAAAGTGTGAGACAAACAGAAGAATTCATGACCATCATTTCACTGAAGTTGCAAACCAACTCCATGAGCTACACAAATCCTGATTGTTCTTTCATGCATCCATTCCCTCTCATTCAGAAAACATTCACTGAGGCCATGTTATCACCCTGCGCTATGTAGCTTAAGTGCTTCCAGAATTGGAAACAGGCTTAGTAAAGTAAAACACGTCCAAGCTCACACTGCTAGGTGACAAGGACCGGGGACACTCACCCCTTCCCCTGCCCCGAGACCGATCATTTCCCATTGCTCCACATTGTCTGTCCCAGAAACTCTCCCCATTGGAATAAGAAATTGTTACTCACTTATGGAAAACAAATCCTTGACCCTCTTTGGGACCTCTAAAGCAGTTGGTCCTGTTTTCTCCTTGTGAACTCGAGGGCAGGGAAGGGAGGGGGGTGGGATGGATGAGGCCGACCCCTCGGACTTGACTCTTCTATGGCTGAACTGTTGGCGTTGTGTACAGCGTTCAGAAGAAGGCCGAGGGTGTTCACCCTCCTTCTTTCCCCGCCCCCCCTTTTCCAATTTGCAAGTTATAAAAATGTGTCACCCCCAAATGCACCAGGTGTCTCCAACTTTCTAATTGAGCAAGGCAGACTCTTTCCCAGCCCGGAGCCTTGAAATATTTATTCAAATTTTTGTTTCACTGAATTAATGTCTTAAGCTGGTGAACAATCCAACTGAAGGTCAATGTTCGTTTCCTAGAGTTGTCCAATGTCTGTGTGGTATTCAGACCTGAAAATGATGACTTTCCTCCAGATTGCAAACTCCCCAGCGAGCACCCTGGAGATGGAAGCCAGCCCACATTGTTTTCTGATCAGTCAGCATAAATGTTCCTCTCTTTCGAGTTCAAGGTGGGCTCAAAATTGGAGCTGTCTTGAGATAAAGCAGAGCAGCCCTGTTTCACCCCTGGGGGAGGGCCTCTGAGCGGGGGGGAATGTGAAAGGCCCCTCTGGTCAGGGGAGACATCCGCTCCCCTTTGCTTTGGGCTGTACCAGTTGGCAGATGAAGCTCTGTGCAAATGCCGGCCAGACCAAAATGGTGCTGAGACAGCCACGGTGTCATTTAGCAAAAAAGAAAGGAAACATCTGCAAATCCTGCCTTGGTGCTGAGCAGGGACAGCCTGCTGCTTTTCCTCCTGGCCCACCGTGGGCTCGCTCCTGACCGACCAGAATGGTTCCCTGAAACAAATGCATTTGAAAGATATTTTCCATCCCTGCCCCCACCCCCCCCCACAGGAAATTCTTGTGTTTAGTCATCCTTACTACATGGGCTGAGTCAGCAAGCTCTGCTTTAACCACAGCTGCTTTCAGATGGTAAGTTAAGACCAGTTAGTTGAGTGAACAGGCTTGGCTGAAACACTTGGACAGCCAGGGCTCCAGGACTGGATGGCTACCCTGGAGGAACTGTAAGCCGGGTACTGCTCAGTACCTTTGAGGCCTTCTGGGTGGGCCTCAATTCCTTTTTAGCATGTTGGTACTACCGAGCATTCGAGAACTAGAAGGGACAATAGCTTGATCTGAGTGCCTTAAGAGACTATTCTGGTAGAGTGGCACAATCTGTTGGCCTAGGATTTAAATCCTGGTTCTGCCAATAGTTAGAGGTCTGACTCACAGGGCAAGCAGCCTCTCTCTCTGGGTCTTAGCACTCCCATCCTTAAAATTGAGGCTTGAATCAGATGACCCCTCAGGGCTCTCTCTGCTTGGATGGTCAATGAGACAACCTAGGATAGATGGTCAGCCACTCTTTTCTCCACTTACCAGGAAATTGGAAATACTCTGCAGAATGCGTGTACTGGGGATCTGGTCCAGCATTTTATCCATCTATGGTAAAAAAGTCTTCCTGGGGTCTAACCACAATCTGTTTTCTCTTGTTTGGGCCTCTGCAGACATGGAGAATCCCAGGAAACATTCCTTTGTAAGGAACCTTGTCAACTCCAAGAGTTTTCTTGTTTGAGTTCTGGTAAGTCCTCCGCAAGCAGGAGAGACAGTTGCTTAGGTTTATATGGCCATGCTTTCCCTCTCATCTGATAGTTTTCCAGCCTTTTAGTTATTATCTCTGACTTGTGAACCTAGGGAGACTGAGACTGGGATAGATTAATGACCCACTGGACAGTTAGCTCTGTAGCAAGGAGAAAGTCACTTTTCCAGATCAGACACATCACAAAAGTTGTCCTAGGCTACAGAAAGCCTTGGATAAAAGAGAAGACACAGCACTGTGTAAGGTGACCCCCCCCCCCGCAGATGCACAGCAGATGAGGAAAATGGTCAACATTTATTAACACCTAATGTGTACATGCTAGACATTGTTCTAAGCACCTTACATGCTCATTTGATGTCAGTCCTCACAACAGTAAAATTATTGTGCTTATTTTACAGATTGGGAAACTGAGGCACATAGTGGTTAATTAACTTGCTCAAAATAAAACAGCGAATAAGCAGGAAAGTGTCTATTCTATCCCAGGACTTCTCTGAACCATCATGCATGGGGAGACTGAAGGTGGTACTGCTGACTCTGGCTCCTGTAAGGACTGCCCGCCTCACCTGCCTCACCTGCCTGCATCCCTCATCAGGTACAGGTGCCTGCCCTGGTTTCCATGACATTCTACACCCCCGCTACAAGAAAAATGCTTCCTCACGCAGAACTTCAAAGTGTTCACTTTACAACACTGGAAATGTCATGTTTTCCTCTTCTAAGGGAAATTATTGGGAAAGAACATTCTATAAAATGGGGTTCCCCAAACTAAAGAACGTGTTGGAAAATGACCATATTCCCCTCTGCTGGTAAATCCATTAGATTTGTCAAATGTCAGAATTTGGGGAGAACTTGCAGCTTGTCTAGCCAAAGTCCTTCATGTTACAGGTGAGCAAACTGGAACTGAGCATGATATCGGGGGTTCTTGGGCTCTTCTAAGGTTGTCATTTCTTGTGAGAAATGACAGAGTTGGCTTAATAAATAATTCCCCTTTGAGAAAACCCCACCAGAGAATCAGAAGGTGGGATTCACCCACTCCAGAGCCACTTTGTCTAGTGGGGTTCCCCAAACATGTGTAACTGGATTTCATAAGCATAGTCTTCAAAGGCAGCATGATACCAAGCAACGGCCACATTCAGATGACCAAGGTCTGTGGCTCAGTGGTCATGTTCTTATAATCTTGCTTAACGCCAGACCTGCTGACAAAGTGGATCCCACACTAAAATCACAAACAACTTTGGGGAAACCACTTCTGTTGAAAAAGAAGCTCATCAAAAACTTTGGATTATTGATTGTGAACCCCAAAATATCTCTCCATGCCTTCTATGAGAGCTAAATGGAACCATCTTACTTTTCTGTATTGAATGTGCAGATATTACTGAATTATTTTCAAGCCAAACAGCTTGTAAAGTATTAGTTTAAATAAATTTTATGGTAGTATAAGTTTTCACTGATCCTAACACACGAGTCAGTATGGAAAAATGAAAAGAAGGACCTGAGGCTTTGTATGTGGTTCAAGTCTCCCAGAAATTGGCCCTAGGGAACAGTATCTTAATGGTTGTTTTCAAAGAAATAGTAGATCCTCTTCCACTCCCCAGTGTCAACCCACAATGTATTTTCCAGTCTCTTCCTACTAAAATGCCAAAGAAAAAAAAAAAAGAATACCAGAGTTTAAAAATAAAAGGTACAGAATTGGAGATCTTGCCTGATTTGCCCCAAAACTTATTAAGTGTTATGTCTCCTAGGTGCAACTATATACTTGAACAGATTGTTAAAAGACCCACATCATGTTTTGGGGTGTAGTCTATTACTGCCTACAGACTTTCCCATGTGGGAAAGTAGGCCACACACCATCTTATAAATAACCAAATGAACTCCCCTCCATTTTATAGGGTGGCTAAAGGCTGATTACCTTTCGCAATCAGCCGACCTCTTAATTCATCCCAGGTTGCAGCTGGGCTCCAAGAACGTGGACAGGGTTGGTTTAGGAGGGAAAACCAAGGGTGGGTGAGGCGCAGGGGCATGTCTGCACATGTGCATGGCACACAGATCACTTTTGAAGATTTTTTTATAGGTAGTCAGTACTTTTCAGCTAGGAAAAAAATAACCCTGCCTTTGTAGTGTTAGGGGATGACATTTCATTGCAAAAATAAATGATTTGGTCATTACCATTTCATGGTTGCTGGCAAGCACCTCCTCTGCTTTCTAACAATTTCCATTTTAGGCACTGACAGGCCTTCAAAGTGATTCAGCCAATATCCACCCAAAGTTGCGTATTTGGCAGTTTCATACTGAGAAATCTGGGGCCTCTGGGCAAAAATGTCAGAAAGGGCTCCCTCCTTCTTTGTCAATTGTGAAACAAACAGATCACCATAAACAGTCACTAGGGGCTCCGGGGGCAGCCATGCCGAAGGAAAGGGAAGGAACGGAAGTTGTTGGCAAGGGCTGCTTCCTTGGCTCCCGTTCTTGCTCTCATTCTCCGTTGCTGCTTGTACTTTTCCTGAAGGCCAGAGCTGCCTCAGTTGTTAACCCCGACCAAGGCGAGGCACACTGGCTCTCCAGTAAGCAGGCATTCCCTGCCATGGAACGTGATGAACGGAGGTGGAAATCACTGGAAATTGACTCTTCCGGGCTGTTGGGGCTAGGGTTGTTTTGGAAGCATGCCTCGTTGAACTGACTGAACCCACAAGCAGGCAGTCACCGTGGATCCTGATTGGGCAACTTCCGGGTTAATCTCTGAAACCCACCTTGGTCTCTGTCTCCCACTTCCTCTGCCAGCGACCGTCAGGCTGAGAGTGCTTTGGTTGTCCCAGTGGGGAGCAAAAGGTAGAGCACCTCCCAGGGAGCCCCTGCCTCACCAGCAACTTGAAGAATCTGAGTCCTCAAGCCCCTTCACACATATTTGACTCAACCTTCAATGCTTTTGAAGCAACTGACCCTCTCCCTCCATTTGGGATTCACTCTAAATGCCAAGCCACCATGGCAAGGCCATGCTGAACCCTCATTTTCTCACTCACAGAACCTTCTTTTTTTCCTGCTCAAAACAGTCATGGCCAGTAGCAACTATCTATTTATTTACGTGTATGCTTATTACTCATCTTTCCTATGATACAGTGAGCTCCAAAACTTCTGTTTTGTTCGACACTGTACTCCCAATGCCTAGCATAGTGCCTGGCACATAGTAGATGCTCAATAAATAGTTGTTGAGTGACTGAATAAAACTGTCCAGTCTGAGAACACTTAAAAAACAGGCTTATTGTCTCCATGTGTACGTCTCTCCTTAAAAGCTTCTTGCATTTCACTGCTGCAACTCATCTATGTGGGAGAGCGTGCTAGCCACCAGCGATTTCCTTTCCCTGTCCATGTCCTACAACTCATGTGTTTCATGAGGCCCAGGTTCTAGATGCCAGGGCCAGGCAGCTTTTTGGTCAGAGGTGCTTAGTGCTGGGTATTTGCCAAAGAGAACTGGCTCTATGAACAGTATATTGAAATGTCACTTGGCGGGGTGGGGGTGGGGGGTCAGCCCATCATACTTAATAATAATACTTTATCTTTTCTTCCCTTTCAGGGCTGCTTTTAAGAAGTTATTTAGATTCCCTGTCAGAGACAATAGCCAACCTTTGCAAAGCTATTAATAAAGTCAAGTTTCTCTTATGCTATATCGCCCTTCATTCAGTTCCTTCCAGGAACCTCTCAAAATGCTGTCTGCTCTGTTAAATGATGGTCGCAGCCATCAACTAGCTGCTTGACACCCCAGCTTAGTTCCTCTTCCTTTCAAAGACTTAAGAGAGAGCTGAGTTACAAGATCTCCAGCATTTGAAAATGACTCCCAAGGATTACCATGCTTTCTGTTCCCTTTCTTCCTGTCATTAGTTGCAACAATATTAGTGTTTGGTTTAGAAGGGTATGGAGGGCGCTGTGCTTTTTTATTCCACTTTTCTCTAGTGACCCACGCATTTATTTCTGCTATGTTTCTTTCAGCCTAGAATCCCAGGGCTTGGAATTGATCTGACACACATACCAGGATGCAAGGGCATGTGTACATCCACAGTGTGTCACTGAGACAGTGTTGGTAATA